TTACCGCGACCAGGTGCTCACCCCTGAACTCGTTCCTTTCATGGCGGCTCATGACCCAGGTCTACAGTTCCAGCATGATAATGCTCGGCCGCATACCGCGAAGTTGACACGAAATTTCCTTCAAAACGCTGGAATCAACGTCATGGACTGGCCATCGAGGTCCCCTGACCTTAATCCAATAGAACACGTTTGGGATGCACTTGGGAGAAGGCTTCGTGGTTTTAGGTACCAACCTCAGAATTTGCAGGAACTTGGCGCTGCCTTGCAAGAGCAATGGCGCAGAATCCCCAACCACGTGTTCACAAGCATCAGGCAGTCGATGAGGAGACGGTGTTTGGCAGTGGTGAATGCGCGGGGCGGCCATACACGATATTGAACTGAGAAATTTCGCATTTTTATTCTTGTGACTTGACATTCTGTATACCCATGTTTTGGAACGGCGGTGTAGCCTAATGTAACTGATTATGGCACTGTAAGTGTATCGAGTACATCACACAGATCTCAGCAATGAAATAATAACAATTTAACCATCTTACCATCTCTTGTTCTTTTATAGTGCCCTGAAGAAAGAATGTGAAGTTTCTGTTTTGACTCAGTATATTTGATATTTAAAAACACTCAAGTGAAATTCTAAATCTGCCCTTTACATTACCAAGGTGTAGTTTTGAGTATCGGACTGATAGATATTAAGTGGAACTGAACGCTGCATCGGCATATGTTTAAAGGATGGTGTCAGTATCAGTATCACGGGTGAGTAAGTCTACCCGTACCCTTATTGCAAACACCTGGTGTCATCACTGAGTGCCAGTGATCCAATCATATAATTTTCAAACATATTTTCCCCTTAACGCCAAACTGAATGTCTTTCTGAGGACATGAAGACTGGGTATTCTTATGCACTGACGATGTGTGTTACGCATATTTCGAAGTGTCCTGGCATTGATCAATGACATCAAATAGCCCGGTACTTTAACGGAACGTCACATTTTACCTTTGGAGAAGACCGCCTCCGTGGTGTAGTGGTTAGAGCGTCCGCCCGGAGAGCGGAAGGTCGCAGGTTTGATCCCCGACCGCGTCATACCAAAAGACGTTAAAATGTGGTACTTGTTGGTCCCTGCCTGGCGTTCGGCATTAATGGGTACAACAAGGACTGGTCGGCTCGGAGTCAGTATAATGTGTCTGAGTGGGGTATTCATGCTTCACTGCGGCGTGGTATCTCAGTGGGCTAGCACTATAAAACCAGCTTCAGTCTGGGCTAGTACAAGCAGCCGCACATACACCTTCACACGCATGCACGTCGTCATATGAGCTAAATATTCTCAAGCAAGACGTTAAACCCAATTTCACCTCACCCCACCTTTGGAGAAAAGCAAACCATCATATAGAGTGTCACTGAATGTAATCGGAAACAGCCTCATCGATGTCCGTTTCTGTATGGTATTGCTGATTGACGCTTCGTCAGCACATAAGTTACTGTGTATTTGTATGTATCCCCCACTTGTTTTGATCTTTTCACCATATCCTATATATATATGGCAGAGCCCAATAGCCGAACATACCTGCTAGTGTCTCTTGTTTTCTGATACCACTTCCTTCTGTTCGCATTTGGTGTTTTACTTATGTAGGCAATGTCAGCGACTTCATTTCGTACTAAAACTTGTGGTTAACGTCCTGTCTTGTATAACGTACATACACGTATCACTGTTTGATAGTTGTCTGCAGTATGTTTATTTCCTGTCTTGTAGAACATATAAGGTATGTCACTGTTTGATATATGTCTGCAGTTTTTTACGTCCCGTCTTATGAGACGTAACGCCGTTTGATACTTGTCTGAAATAGATTCATGTCTCGTCTTGGATAACGTACGTGGCATGACTATCGTCGTTGTTAACTTCAGTTCTTGTATCACGTATACATGCCATTGCAGTTTGATACCTGCCTGTAGTATGTTGACTTTAACTCGGATACTTCTTCCTATAAAGCCGAATCACCTTTTGTCTTGTATAATGTACATGTAATATTGAGCTTTATGAAACCCGTCGATAACATATGTTCCCAAATAAAACTTACATGAAATAGCATAATACTTGTCTGTTACAGTAATCTAAGTCTTCTTTGAGTTACAGACTGAGAATTAAAACATAATACATATCACATAATATCACATAAAATCACATATCACATAATACATAAATTTTCATTGTGATTGTTAACATACGTTTATTCCATGACATTTCTCGCCGCCAAAGGCTACAACATGGCTGATGCGGCCGTAAGCAATATTCACTCACTACTCCCTCTCTCACTCTTTAAGTTTTATGTGACATAGCTCTGTGTACATGTTTCTGGCAGGTGTTCCTCCGGTCTTCACAAATCCTCCCGATGCCACCACGCGTATTAACGTCGCAGAGAACACCGCCGTGACGACGTCAGTTTTTCAGGCAGCAGCGACTGACGGCGAAAGCGATCCCTTAACATTTAGTCTAGTGACGCCACCTACTGAGTTTACCATCACAACAGCAGGGGAGATAACTGTGAATGGAAACATAGACTTCGAGACTACAGCTGTATATACGTTGACTGTGAGGTACGCAAAACTTAAATTGGCAGGATGAGAGTTATATCAAGGTTTAGAAATTTACCACACTGGTGGAACCCACGAGTGTTGACAAATCATGAATAATTATACTTGTCTGTGGTTTACGTTTGGCTTGTATAACTGATATAGTATAGCCCTGTTTGATACCTGTCCGTTCGTAGTTAACTTTGTCTTGAATGACGGATGCAGCTCAGTGCTCTTTGATACCTGACAAGAATAATAATCAGGACGACTTTGGGATCCACTACAAATACTAGGATATGACACTACAAACTTTCCGAACCCCATACAGCGGACTGAGCAGATCTAAAGGATTTGTTTGAGACCAAAATGTATTGTGTAAATAATTCTGCGGGAGAAGTGAAAACTGGTGCATTTGTATGCACTGTTAAACATATTCCAAATTGAAAATTGCTTTATGTTTACCAATATTTCTCGGGAAGGAAAAAAGACAATAATGTGCCTGTTATATAGTTGCTTCAGGTGTAATTAACATTTACTCTGGTGTTTATAGCAGTATGCATAGAAACAGTGATCATCACAAAAACGAAGTCTTTCATTCGTTTCTCAAGGGTGAACGACGGAACAAACGACGTTGACGTGACTCTCACTGTTGATGTCACAGACGTCGATGAGAAGCCAGATTTCACAAACATTGCGACAGATGGCAGCACAACAGCTCCTATTGCAGAAAACTCGGGTGTTGGAAGTTCCGTTTTCACGGCTCTGGCATCCGATCCGGAAGGAGCAACTGTTACGTTCTCACTGGTCACCCCGCCAGCGGAGTTTGCCATCAGTACCGTAGGGGTGCTGACAGTCAACGGGGCTTTGAACTTCGAGAACGTCCCGTCATATACTATCACAGTCAGGTAATTTGATTACATTAGATTTAATCACATACAGAACAGAATTGTCAGACTTATTCCGTATTATTTATATCGGTGGTTTGTCGAATCATCTTTACATTCATGTCTGGAAACTCCTAAAGGAAAAAGTTTCAATTTAATATGCCGACACAGTATCTATTTACTCTATAAAAGTAATTAAATACGGTTATTATTCCCAAGTCGTTTATATTGTCAGTACCATAGTATTATTGGATTATGTAATCAGTCATGTCATACATCCAAGAAGCACTTTTTCCTTCACAAATATATAATGTGCTCTGAAATCGGTAGGGTCCAAAGGGCAGAGGATGCCTTATGGTTAAAGTATTCGTTCGTCGCGCTCGTCTATTTCAAACAAACTTAGAATCTGTTATGTTGATTTAAAATTTAAAACTAGAATTATAATCTATTTGAGGCTAAAGCTTTGGTAAACGGTTTTAGGGATATTATATGCTTCCAGAGCTTCTGATGGAACCAACACCAACGACCTGTCTATGACAGTGTCAATCACCAATGTGGATGAAGCTCCAGTCTTCTCTAACTTGGCGACAGATGGCAGTACGAGAATAGGCATCGCTGAGAACTCGGGTACAGGAACATCTGTGTTTGCAGTGGCAGCTTCTGATCCAGAAGGGGTCACCTTGACCTACAGCCTTGTCACACCACCTGCTCAGTTCACTATCACAGCCCTTGGAGAGGTGCAAGTAGCCACTGCCAGCATCGACTTTGAAACACTGGCATACTATGCCTTGACAGTCAGGTTGGTAACCATCCTTAGAGTAGCACATTTAGTACACACTGTTGATATATATAGTGATATTAAGAAAGTTGAAATGCTCCGTGTATCCCTTTCCTTTCTTAGCATCAATAAATGGTTTTTGGTCCACTGGAATCGTTCTATATGCAATGTCACATGTTTCATCTGTGAACATGGTTTATCATCCTTTCAAAATCAATTGACAACGGTTGCAAATCAAATGAAAGTTGTTATTTGAATATTTCTGTCGTATCTCATAAATGTTCTTCAGCTTGAATTCGTATTTCTGTATACCACATTTACAAGCTATCATCGATTTACACATGTGCTGGATGATGTGCTGCTATTGTCATGGCCTTACCAAACCAAGGCTTTGAATTCAAATGTCTTCTGACTGATGTTCGTAGCCACTGCATTTTGTCCTCATTTACAGAATAACTGATGGAACAAATCCTGTTGATGTTATCCTTAACGTTGACATCACCGACGTCAACGAATCACCAAGCTTCACAAATATTGCATCCGATGGCAGTACAAATGTCAACATAGCCGAGGACTCGGGGACCGGCACGTCTGTTTTATCTGTAGTGGCATCGGACCCAGAGGGAGATGCTCTGACAGTAAGTCTGGTTACTCCTCCTACCGAGTTCACTCTCAATGCAGCAAACCAGATTCAGGTGAACGGACCTCTGGACTTCGAAACTACCACTTCTTACACACTGACAGTCAGGTACGTAATACGTTGAACTATTTTAACACCATCATGTTCATCGTTGCGATGGTATAACCATATCGATTGTTCGCCTTCTTAAATTTGTCTACTTTCAGAGTAACAGATGGAACAAATGCAAATGTTGACCACACCATGACGGTGACGATCACCAATGTAGATGAGGCACCCACCTTTACAAGTCCTGCTGCAGATGGCAGTACCAGGACCAACCTAGCAGAGAACTCTGGCACAGGAACATCCGTGTATGCTGTGGTAGCTTCTGATCCAGAAGGGGTCACCTTGACCTACAGCCTTGTCACACCACCTGCTCAGTTCACTATCACAGCCCTTGGAGAGGTGCAAGTAGCCACTGCCAGCATCGACTTTGAAACACTGGCATACTATGCCTTGACAGTCAGGTTGGTAACCATCCTTAGAGTAGCACATTTAGTACACACTGTTGATATATATAGTGATATTAAGAAAGTTGAAATGCTCCGTGTATCCCTTTCCTTTTTGAGCATCAATAATTGGTTTTTGTTCTACTGGAATCGTTCTATATGCAATGTCACATGTTTCATCTGTGAACATGGTTTATCATCCTTTCAAAATCAATTGACAACGGTTGCAAATCAAATGAAAGTTGTTATTTGAATATTTCTGTCGTATCTCATAAATGTTCTTCAGCTTGAATTCGTATTTCTGTATACCACATTTACAAGCTATCATCGATTTACACATGTGCTGGATGATGTGCTGCTATTGTCATGGCCTTACCAAACCAAGGCTTTGAATTCAAATGTCTTCTGACTGATGTTCGTAGCCACTGCATTTTGTCCTCATTTACAGAATAACTGATGGAACAAATCCTGTTGATGTTATCCTTAACGTTGACATCACCGACGTCAACGAATCACCAAGCTTCACAAATATTGCATCCGATGGCAGTACTAATGTCAACATAGCCGAGGACTCGGGGACCGGCACGTCTGTTTTATCTGTAGTGGCATCGGACCCAGAGGGAGATGCTCTGACAGTAAGTCTGGTTACTCCTCCTACCGAGTTCACTCTCAATGCAGCAAACCAGATTCAGGTGAACGGACCTCTGGACTTCGAAACTACCACTTCTTACACACTGACAGTCAGGTACGTAATACGTTGAACTATTTTAACACCATCATGTTCATCGTTGCGATGGTATAACCATATCGATTGTTCGCCTTCTTAAATTTGTCTACTTTCAGAGTAACAGATGGAACAAATGCAAATGTTGACCACACCATGACGGTGACGATCACCAATGTAGATGAGGCACCCACCTTTACAAGTCCTGCTGCAGATGGCAGTACCAGGACCAACCTAGCAGAGAACTCTGGCACAGGAACATCCGTGTATGCTGTGGTAGCTTCTGATCCAGAAGGGGTCACCTTGACCTACAGCCTTGTCACACCACCTGCTCAGTTCACTATCACAGCCCTTGGAGAGGTGCAAGTAGCCACTGCCAGCATCGACTTTGAAACACTGGCATACTATGCCTTGACAGTCAGGTTGGTAACCATCCTTAGAGTAGCACATTTAGTACACATTGGTAATATATGGAGTGACATTTAGACAACTGAGATGCTCCGTATATTCCTTTCCTTTCTTAGCATCAATAAATGTTTTTTGGTCCACTGGAATCGTTCTATATGCAATGTCACATGTTTCATCTGTGAACATGGTTTATCATCCTTTCAAAATCAATTGACAACGAAATCAAATGAAAGTTGTTATTTGAATATTTCTGTCGTATCTCATAAATGTTCTTCAGCTTGAATTCGTATTTCTGTATACCACATTTACAAGCTATCATCGATTTACACATGTGCTGGATGATGTGCTGCTATTGTCATGGCCTTACCAAAACAAGGCTTTGAATTCAAATGTCTTCTGACTGATGTTCGTAGCCACTGCATTTTGTCCTCATTTACAGAATAACTGATGGAACAAATCCTGTTGATGTTGTCCTTAACGTTGACATCACCGACGTCAACGAATCACCAAGCTTCACAAATATTGCATCCGATGGCAGTACTAATGTCAACATAGCCGAGGACTCGGGGACCGGCACGTCTGTTTTATCTGTAGTGGCATCGGACCCAGAGGGAGATGCTCTGACAGTAAGTCTGGTTACTCCTCCTACCGAGTTCACTCTCAATGCAGCAAACCAGATTCAGGTGAACGGACCTCTGGACTTCGAAACTACCACTTCTTACACACTGACAGTCAGGTACGTAATACGTTGAACTATTTTAACACCATCATGTTCATCGTTAGGAGGCTAAAACTATATCGATTGTTCGCTTTCTTAAATTTGTCTACTTTCAGAGTAACAGATGGAACAAATGCAAATGTTGACCACACCATGACGGTGACGATCACCAATGTAGATGAGGCACCCACCTTTACAAGTCCCGCTGCAGATGGCAGTACCAGGACCAACCTAGCAGAGAACTCTGGCACAGGAACATCCGTGTATGCTGTGGTAGCTTCTGATCCAGAAGGGGTCACCTTGACCTACAGCCTTGTCACACCACCTGCTCAGTTCACCATCACAACCCTTGGAGAGATCCAAGTAGCCACTGCCAGCATCGACTTTGAAACACTGGCATACTATGCCTTGACAGTCAGGTTGGTAACCATCCTTAGAGTAGCACATTTAGTACACACTGTTGATATATATAGTGATATTAAGAAAGTTGAAATGCTCCGTGTATCCCTTTCCTTTCTTAGCATCAATAAATGTGTTTTGGTCCACTGGAATCGTTCTATATGCAATGTAACATGTTTCATCTGTGAACATGGTATATCACCCTTTCAAAATCAATTGACAACGAAATCAAATGAAAGTTGTTATTTGAATATTTCTGTCGTATCTCATAAATGTTCTTCAGCTTGAATTCGTATTTCTATATACCACATTTACAAGCTATCATCGATTTACACATGTGCTGGATGATGTGCTGCTATTGTCATGGCCTTACCAAAACAAGGCTTTGAATTCAAATGTCTTCTGACTGATGTTCGTAGCCTCTGCATTTTGTCTTCATTTACAGAATAACTGATGGAACAAATCCTGTTGATGTTATCCTTAACGTTGACATCACCGACGTCAACGAATCACCAAGCTTCACAAATATTGCATCCGATGGCAGTACAAATGTCAACATAGCCGAGGACTCGGGGACCGGCACGTCTGTTTTATCTGTAGTGGCATCGGACCCAGAGGGAGATGCTCTGACAGTAAGTCTGGTTACTCCTCCTACCGAGTTCACTCTCAATGCAGCAAACCAGATTCAGGTGAACGGACCTCTGGACTTCGAAACTACCACTTCTTACACACTGACAGTCAGGTACGTAATACGTTGAACTATTTTAACACCATCATGTTCATCGTTGCGATGGTATAACCATATCGATTGTTCGCCTTCTTAAATTTGTCTACTTTCAGAGTAACAGATGGAACAAATGCAAATGTTGACCACACCATGACGGTGACGATCACCAATGTAGATGAGGCACCCACCTTTACAAGTCCTGCTGCAGATGGCAGTACCAGGACCAACCTAGCAGAGAACTCTGGCACAGGAACATCCGTGTATGCTGTGGTAGCTTCTGATCCAGAAGGGGTCACCTTGACCTACAGCCTTGTCACACCACCTGCTCAGTTCACTATCACAGCCCTTGGAGAGGTGCAAGTAGCCACTGCCAGCATCGACTTTGAAACACTGGCATACTATGCCTTGACAGTCAGGTTGGTAACCATCCTTAGAGTAGCACATTTAGTACACATTGGTAATATATGGAGTGACATTTAGACAACTGAGATGCTCCGTATATTCCTTTCCTTTCTTAGCATCAATAAATGTTTTTTGCTCCACTGGAATCGTTCTATATGCAATGTCACATGTTTCATCTGTGAACATGGTTTATCATCCTTTCAAAATCAATTGACAACGAAATCAAATGAAAGTTGTTATTTGAATATTTCTGTCGTATCTCATAAATGTTCTTCAGCTTGAATTCGTATTTCTGTATACCACATTTACAAGCTATCATCGATTTACACATGTGCTGGATGATGTGCTGCTATTGTCATGGCCTTACCAAAACAAGGCTTTGAATTCAAATGTCTTCTGACTGATGTTCGTAGCCACTGCATTTTGTCCTCATTTACAGAATAACTGATGGAACAAATCCTGTTGATGTTATCCTTAACGTTGACATCACCGACGTCAACGAATCACCAAGCTTCACAAATATTGCATCCGATGGCAGTACTAATGTCAACATAGCCGAGGACTCGGGGACCGGCACGTCTGTTTTATCTGTAGTGGCATCGGACCCAGAGGGAGATGCTCTGACAGTAAGTCTGGTTACTCCTCCTACCGAGTTCACTCTCAATGCAGCAAACCAGATTCAGGTGAACGGACCTCTGGACTTCGAAACTACCACTTCTTACACACTGACAGTCAGGTACGTAATACGTTGAACTATTTTAACACCATCATGTTCATCGTTGCGATGGTATAACCATATCGATTGTTCGCCTTCTTAAATTTGTCTACTTTCAGAGTAACAGATGGAACAAATGCAAATGTTGACCACACCATGACAGTGACGATCACCAATGTAGATGAGGCACCCACCTTTACAAGTCCCGCTGCAGATGGCAGTACCAGGACCAACCTAGCAGAGAACTCTGGCACAGGAACATCCGTGTATGCTGTGGTAGCTTCTGATCCAGAAGGGGTCACCTTGACCTACAGCCTTGTCACACCACCTGCTCAGTTCACTATCACAGCCCTTGGAGAGGTGCAAGTAGCCACTGCCAGCATCGACTTTGAAACACTGGCATACTATGCCTTGACAGTCAGGTTGGTAACCATCCTTAGAGTAGCACATTTAGTACACACTGTTGATATATATAGTGATATTAAGAAAGTTGAAATGCTTCGTGTATCCCTTTCCTTTTTGAGCATCAATAATTGGTTTTTGTTCTACTGGAATCGTTCTATATGCAATGTCACATGTTTCATCTGTGAACATGGTTTATCATCCTTTCAAAATCAATTGACAACGGCTGCAAATCAAATGAAAGTTGTTATTTGAATATTTCTGATAAATATTCTGATATTACACATTGCCGATAAATAGAGTGACATTAAGAAAGTTGAAATGCTCCGTATATTTCTCTCCCGTTTCAACATTATGGAAATTTCAATTTTTACGCCAAAATGAGCCGTTTGTATTTGTTTTATTGCCTTTAACGCGGCACTTCATTTTGACGGTACGTTAGATTCGTGGCTAAACCATTTGAATATACTTTCAATCTAACTCTGCATTGAAAACATGCCATTTCGAGTTTTTCAGATTATCGTGTTTTCATTTTGGGTTTGACATCAACATGTTGATGCTAATTTGTATTGGTGCTGACTGTAGATCGAACTGCTAACTTCACCCAAGAATAAGACCAACTGATGAATCAACTTATACGCTTTGTTTTTCTAAGGGTGACTGACGGTACATTTACTGTTGATTCTACACTCAACGTTGATATATTGGACGTCAACGAGCCTCCTGTTGTGTCAAACCTCGCTACAGATGGCAGCACCTCCGTTAATATTGCTGAAGATGTTGTTGTCGGTTCATCTGTATATGATGTCACAGCAACCGACCCTGAGTCAGCAACGTTGACCTTCACTCTTCTCAGTGGACCGGCAGAATTTACGATAACTTCCACTGGACAAGTGCAAGCTAATGCAGCATTGGATTTTGAAACGACGCCTTCATACACGCTCAATGTCAGGTCGGTATTCCTTCACAATATCCCCAAACTGACATATGTACACGGGATGATTTATGAAAACGTTTTATTGATTTTGTGTTTTTCGTATGTTTTTATACAGGGTAAGTGATGGAACAAATGATGTTGATCGCGTGCTAAATATAGGAATAACAGATGTAAACGAAGCTCCTACCTTCACGAACGTTGCTACTGATGGCAGCACGAGGACGTCCATTCCAGAAAACACCGCAACAGGGACGTCGATCTTCACGCTGGCTGGTAGTGACCAAGAAGGAACTGCTGTCACCTTCTCACTGGTCAGCCCTCCCAGCGTCTTCTCCATCTCCGGGGCAGAGATTCAGGTGGCAGGAGGACTCGACACAGAGACTACTGCAACATACGCGGTTACAGTAAGGTAGGTCACAGAGCGTGTTCAGCAAATTTGGAGTTCACTGATTACATTATATCTAAATGATCAACATTAGAGAATGATTAGTCTCGATTATCAGCTGAGACGGAAGCGACACACTGGATTTCTACAATGTATTTCAAGGAAGCTGCTGGGGTTTACATCCTTACCCGGAAGACCCAGGCTTAACATGATGAAAACAGAGAAACTAGGAAAATTCATTTTGTATTATCGATGTAACCTTTCATCAGGAGGGTGTCTAATTTTTTAGCAATAATATATCGCAATGCACTTTGACTCTTGGGGTTCATGCTTTGCAACATGTTTTCAGGATATCTGACGGAGTAAATTCCGTTGTCTCGGTCTTGAATATTGATGTGACAAATGTGAATGAGGCTCCCGGTTTCACAAATGTTGCAACTGACGGCAGCACAAGGATATTAATCATGGAAACAGCGGCTATCGGTACATCTGTGCTAAGTGTCGGGGTAGCTGACCCGGAAGGTGATCCCGTGACCTTGACACTAGTGTTACCTCCAGCAGAGTTCATCATTAATGCGGGGGGACAAATCCAAGTGAACGCTGCTCTCAACTATGAAACAACGCCAACCTTCGTCCTGACATTACGGTAATAGTGCAATGAATAACTACCGTCTTTCCTCTTGTCAATGCGGTGTGTCCAATGCTTACATGTCATTGAAGCAAGGACATGTTCCCATTTAATGATGTTGATCACAAATGCGAAAGGTTAGAGATTTAGCACACGTTTACCTCCGTTTGCTTCTTAAACCAACGTTAATATTCTTGAAATGTTTAAGCCCCCATATTGCTGGACTATTACTGAGTGCAGCGTAAAACTAAACTCACTCACTCATTTCCGTGAAATGTTTCGACTATCACCAAGTGAGTAAAAGACACTATTCCTCGCTCAGACATGAAAGATTACCTCCAGAGATATGAAGGAATCGGACTTCTGTAACATATTTTGATGAACATATCAGTAAAAGTCATCAAAGGCATTTAGAAGTTCGTGCAGTAATGTAAGACAAATGTTATGGATAACAACTTCTTAATGTGTTTGTCACGAGGTTTCTCGGCCAGTTCTTGCACCTTCTTAAGAAACAGCCCAGACACGTCATGAGAAACCCATAAAGAAATTGTTATACGTAACATTTGTCTTGTATCATATACGTAAAGCCTGCGCCTTATTCAATTTGCTGTTTCAATAACACAAAGTGGGTTGCAAACCTTTTTATAAGAATATATATTGTAGTGAGTTTTGCAACGATTGTTAAACTGAACTATGTAGTGCAGTGTTTATATCTCATTAACATATTGTTCACACAGAATGGCATCGTTTTATTCCAGAGCTTCTGATGGTACTCTGCAGACAGACATACAGATGAGGGTGGACCTTGTGGATGTCAATGATGCGTCTCCGAACATCACTGGTCCTCTAACCGCCCAACAGGATGAGGGCAAACCTGCAGGCACGATTGTGCCTTTTACATTCTCTGTGTCGGATCCGGATGCTGGGGATGTACTGACACATTCCTTGACTGGTAAAAGACCCATAACCATCGAAAAGGTTTACATTCTAAAATAAAAGCTGACCGCCTCCGTGGTGTAGTGGTTAGAGCGTCCGCCCGGAGAGCGGAAGGTCGCGGGTTCGATTCCCAACCGCGTTATACCAAAAGGACGTTAAAATATGGTACTTGTTGGTCCCTGCCTGGCACTCGGCATTAATGGGTACAACAAGGACTGGTCGGCTCGGAGTCAGTATAATGTGTCTGAGTGGGGTATTCATGCTTCACTGCGGCTTGGTATCTCAGTGGGCTAGCACTATAAAACCAGCTTAAGTCCGGGCTAGTACAAGCAGCCGCACATACACCATACACACGCATGTACGTCGTCATATGAGCGAAATATTCTCAAGCACGACGTTAAACCCAATATCAGCTCACCTCACCTAAAATAAAAGCTAAAAAAAACCTTTCCAAATCTATATGAAACCCATATTTTCCGACTATACCATGAGCATGTGTTTAGGAATCACCTTCAAATAACAATCATACCAGACGTTCCGTACAATGAAGAGCATACAGAATAGCTGAACAACATGTCACAACTCTCAAGCAAACTTCAGTCACGTGTTCTCCTAAAATGAACAAGGCAACATATGGTAAAAGTAAAAATACCTCATTGAACTATTGTTGTCTCTGATGCGTCAGAGCTGGAAATGTGCTCGAAAATGTCTACAAAAAAACATTTTGAACGGTATTAAGGCCTTAAGCTATTTGACGTTCTGTGAAACCTTAACTGAACAAGCAGCTTCGATTGTATCCCAAACGATCTGTAAATGCAAACACTTAAGGCTGAATGTGTTTGTATATGGCTCCATGTAATGAGTGCATTACAATAACTTGTTAGAATGTCGAACTTCCAATCATTTTCTGCCAATCAAGACAGGTAGATGGGGATGAATGCCAGTAAATGATAGAAAGTGTCCTATGTGTAACTTAAATGATATTGGTGACGAATTTCATTATTTATTTATGTGTCCCAAATTAGAATTAGAAAGAGAATAACATATGCACAAGTAGTATTGTATTAGACCAAATATGTATAAAAGGAATATCCTGTGTAACACCAATAAGCTAGGAACTTAAAGAAAACTTTCAATTTTTTCAAAATAATTATGACCTTATTTAAGATATAACCTCAATAACCTAATATGTAACTTGCTCGATGTGAATTGCACCTATCATACCGCATGTACGTTATTTTTATGTTATATAAATGTAAATATTATTTATGTACCTCTTATGCTGCAGCCTGCAGCCTGAGTGAATAAAGTTCAGTTCAGTTCTGACTTTTGGAAAGATGACGTCATCCTGCTTTTTTATTTGTTTGTCACTGATATACCTGAAGCGTAAGTTAAGTTCCCTTGTTTTTATTTTGCCGAAAATACTATTCATAAGCATAGAGATACAGATCAGCTAGAGTGGAGAGAGTTATTTGTACACTATCCGCATATTTCCAGGAATCCATGCCACCTACTTCCTGATTGACGCGAGCTCAGGACAAGTGACGCTGGCCCAGGTTCTTGACTTCGATGCCCCGGCAGCAGTGACGACCTTCGACCAACTGACCTTGACCGTGACTGACTCGTCAGGGAACAGTGCTGTAGCAGCTCTAGTTCTCACTCTCCTTGACGTCAATGACAACACCCCAGTCTGTACCCAGTCTGTGTATACCGCGGATGTGACCGAAAACGCGCCACTCAGTAAGCGTAACTTGCATAATGTGATACTTTGTATAAGGATTGGTAATTAACAGATTTGTGCTCATGCACAATGGATGAAGCTGACAATCATCTTCCGTTCTTCCAGATTCTGATGTTGCCACAGTAGTGTGTACAGACGCGGATGCTTCTTCGCCAAATGGAGATATTTCAGTAGTTCTCATTGGAGGAGATGACAGCAATCCGGATGAGAAGTTTAGTCTCTTTGGTCAAAAGGTGGTCACTACCTTTATACCTCTGGACTTTGAGACCAAGAACTCTTACAGTCTCAGACTGGAAGTTCTGGATGGTGGTGCGACACCTCGTACAGGAACCACAACTGTTCTTGTTAACGTAGGTATTATATACTACCCATCAAAGGTTTAGACTCACTAGTGTAAATGTAGCCACTTACTTCAGCCAACTGTTCTAAACTAGAGTTTACTAAATCCATAATGTTTAAAGGAACTGTTTACACATGAATTGATGTATTGTAAAACAAATTCGTAACGTTGAAAACATTATTTTCATGAGTTCAATAAATGACGAAACTCAGTGAAATTGGCGAATTCTTAACAAAACTTTACACCAAAACGCAGCTGTTCACATGCACTATATTTGCACATGCCTTTCAGAACATTAATGCATGATCCTCGTGCAATTCATCTGCATATGGTTATCAGATGGTTTCCCTAAGTTAGTGGAGATATTCTTCGATGTAACCGTATATATATATACATAACATATAGTGAGTGTTTTAAGTGAGTCTAAACTTTTGATGGGTAGTATATTTGGTTGTCGTGCTTACTCTCCAGTCGCTGATAATCTAGTTTATGAAATTCGTTTTACACTAGTCGCCATCCTTCCTAGTTTAATACATTTCCTATCATGACCAAAAGTGGTTCTTACAATGTATTTACTCACCAGGTGCTGAACCCTCTAGTCATTGCCTCTATGTAGTAATATCAGAAATGCTACTAAAGCCACGATTTGAAACATTCTTTGTTCAAGGTTCTACCAGAGAATGAAGGCACACCGGCATGGGGAACGTTCGTGCCTGCGTACGTATCAGGAACACCGTATCCCGTGTCAGAGAATGCCAACGTTGGTACATCTGTTGTTACCATAGCAGCAACAGATTCAGATGCTGGGAATGATGGGGCAGTCACGTTCACTCTACTCTCAACAACTGCAGGTGAGATCTTAACTGTTTTGGAACTATCATAACAACAATATTTACACATGCATCCCAAATGGATAATAAAAGCTGTTCACTGGTCTCGAGGGGGGCATGGGCTCATGTACCCTCGATGTTTGTTTATGTTCATATGAACATAAAGAAACATTGAGGGTACATCAACCCATGGGCCCCGAGTGACCAGTGAACAACCTCAATGGTAATTTTGAGCTGTTTGAATCACGGTATCGGATCATTGTATGGAGTACCAGATGACAAGACGACAAGAAAAACAAATTTAGAGTTATCTCCCTTCCATCGATTTGCATTCGCAAAACATCGGTAATTTCCGTACATCATGCGTGATTCAATGTTATTCGAGATAGAGAATCACTACTACTAGGTACCAAATGAGTTCGGTATTCCCAGCAGGGTACATAGAAAATGTTACTCGCTTGTAAGCAGGATACATTGAAAATAATAGAAGAGCGCTCAGCCAAACAGAAAACGACATTTATGTGTGAGGCAAGATAACATTTAATGTCTTTCAGAAGAAACATCATTGTCTACATTGACCTATATATCATAAGAAACACAATATATATTTTCATTCATATAGCTGGAGGGGTCGGTGTGGCGGGATTTTCCACTTGGATTCCGTGTCAGGGAAAATCTCAACAACTGCGTCCCTCGACCGTGAATCGGTTGCATCTTATGATGTGACAGTTAGAGCATCTGATGGAGGAACTCCTGCTAAGACAGTAGACCGAACATTCACAATCTCAGTAGCAGATTACAACGACAATGCACCCGTCTTTACATCAGCCCCATATTCCAACTCTCCTCTGGAAACTGCAACGACAGCAGGCGCAACAATAGTAGCAGTAGCGGCAACAGATGCTGATGCAACGTCAACCTTGGCATATGCGATAGAGTTTGGGGACACTACTAGATTCCAGTTCAATGCATCTGGTCTTGAACTGATAACTGCAATCAACCCTGACAGTCCAGCCAATGACCCTGACTACTATGTCCTCAGGATCATTGTGACCGATGGTGGAACACCGGAGCTGACTGGAACGACGTCCGTGACGGTATCCGTTGTGGCAGTCAATGACCACGATCCTGCATTTGCTGCTGGCTTCCCATCAACTGTCTCGGTAGGTGGTGGTGTTTTCAGAATGTGACACAATAGTACAGCATTATCATATAATCAAGATTATTTTTATATCCATTTTTGACTGAACTCTGTTATTCAAGTTTGCAGAGAACACCGCAGTAGGGACAGTAATTGAAACTGTGGCCGCCATAGATCTCGATGCTGGCAGCGATGGACAGATTACATATTCTATTACAAGTAAGGAAAAATAATAATTATTACATGAAACCTTATACTGTAACTGCTATTGTATCAGCTATATTAACGCACACGCACGCACGTCCACACATACATACCTACAGACACAAGCACAACTTCATGTGTGGGTGTTTCAACATGGCGTGGATGTCAATGTGAATTTACTTAAATTGTAGATGGGAATACCAACAATGACTTCACCATCGATCCAGCATTTGGTATCATCACACAACAAAACCCATTAAATTTTGAGACGACCCCTTCCTACACGCTTCAAGTGACTGCTAGTGATGGCGGAGGCACTGTGAGATCGGCAATAACAACAGTGACAATCACAGTTACCAACATCAACGACAACTTGCCTTCCTGTGCTTCATATGCTGTGTTCGTGACTGTGCTTGAGAGCAGCAGTGTCAATGATGTGGTATGTTTCATCTCTGTGTATACTATGAATCTACAAATCTGAACATACCTAATGAATTTATTCATACGTTCTTTCTTTTATGTACACCTTTGGCAGCTTATGAACATATATACCTGTATTTGAGTATCTGTATCACCTTTTCTTGTGTGCAGGTAACAACGCTATCGTGCACTGATGCGGACACTTCCGATGTCTTGTCCTATACGATCATCTCTGGAAACGCTGATGGGAAATTTGCACTCAATGGAGGCACTGGTTCTCTTTCATTAGCTGCAAGTAAGTTGTTGTGGTGCTAGTATTGCTGTCCATGGATAAATATAATTTGTTTAAAGTATTTTCGTCTTTATTTAAAATATGTGATTTCTCAATATTTCGAATTCCGATTTTCATTAAATATTTTCAGCTGTGGACTACGATTCTGCCACTACATCGTACACCCTGCAGATTCAAGTCAGTGACGGAACCAACTCAAGGACTGTCACTGTTTACGTAGATGTTGGTGCTGTAAATGAAGCCACGCCAACTTTTGCAACACCATTCCCTACAGTGTCTGTATCTGAGAGTGACCCTCCTGGAACTACAGTCCACACCTACACTGCTGCAGACTCTGACTACGTCCCCCACGCTGTCACAACGTATACTATCAGCACTGGTAAGTAGCTCCATGCACCCAGTGATATGTATTTTACTAGCATGAAGATAACAGTACAGTAGATTGGCCATTATTATAGGCAATCTACAAGCAAGGTTTACATTTATTAATGTCATATGTAGTCATAGCATTTCTAATAGTAAATTTGTTTAAAGATATCCAACTTAACATTTTGAAACCAATAATAAAATGACAACATGCCTGATGTGCCATCAAATAAAGATTTGAATCCAGATTTGTGCATTTAAATATATCCAGTGACCCAAGGAGGCCTGTCCCTGTTCAGCATAGACCCGTCCTCTGCTGTCATCACCCTGGCCTCCAGTGTGGACTACGATGCTCTTCCCGCTGGCACCAAGTTCTATCTCCTTACCCTCACAGCTGCAGATGGCGGCGGACTTCAGGCAAGTGAATATACACATACACTACTGCCTGGAAGTTGATTCTGTTACACGCGCTAGGAGACGTTTAACACGCTTTGGGAGGCGTGTGAAACGGGTGAACACACGTGCATTCTTCTGCCATGTGTTTAACACAGGTCTGGTTTTCAGTCCGCAAACAGAATACAATGGAATGCAAATCCTTATTTAAGGAAAGGTTATGGATATGCCAATGCACACATCAGAGATCACATCTGCATTTGTATGCCCACCGTTAATTAAAATTTACCTTAGAGAAGAGAAAACGTCAAATGAGAACCACTGACTGCTATCAATGGTGCTGGTGGGCAGGGCAACATTTAAAGGTGCTCGAGCCTCATGAAAATTTGTAACGGGACGCATTCTGCTCAGTGAGGAGTGTTCACAGACTACTGATCATTGCAACTGTCAAGATCACAAAGCCTAATGAGATCCTATCTGGATGTTAACGTTCCTTGATTGTTAAGATCACAAATCCTACCTTCAATCACACTGAAAAAAACTTTTAGATTACATATGTATGTTGTTGTCCTTGTATCTTCAAACGATTAGGCATTTTTCATTTCCTTAACTTATATTAGACCTTATATATCTACATGTCATCATAAACATGTCACTTATCGTTTTTGTGTTCAACTATCAATGACGTTGAAGAACAATATAGTGTAAATGCCAAGGAGGTTGGGATTTTGGAATGAGTGCAAGATACATTGACAATAACCCTGAGAGTTTATGCCACAGAATCCTGAAAACACTATCTTGTCCTTACAGACTCTCTCTCCATTATTATCATGCCTGACAGCCATTATCCAAAGGCCATGTTATACAAAACGCCATGATCAATTGAAAGGCCTCTTCATGTGGTATGGCCATAAGCAAAACCCTTCCATTATATAAGCTCCATATATCCTCCACCATATAACCCAACGCCTTTATTCATTTCCTTCTTTCCCAGTTGCAAGCAGCCGAGGCAAAGAAGCCAAAGCCATAATAAAGTAATTAGGGTCAAAGCCGAGCCAAGGCTGAAGAATAAAATCACCAGCGGTCATCCTACGGACTTTTACTGCCAAATCACCCAGAATCGTTATGAATTTTAACATCTTTTGTTGATGGGAAAACAATATCACCTCTTAATTTAGCTGGCAGTGGTGTGCCTTTAGTCAAAGGTTTGTTCCATCTGAAATGGCTGTGTCACAGAATTCCCACCCGTATTGCACGATGCTTTGCGCATGAGTAACCAAAGCAATACAGGGCAGTGGGGTAAATTAGTGGTTAACGCGTTTGCTCGTCAGGCCGAGGACCCCGGTTCGATTCGCCTGATGGGTGCAATCCGTGAAGCTAAAACCGGCATCATACCATACGCACTCAACTCACTCCAGTGCAATACTCATGGGCTGCCTCACTTGTAGCCCAACCATGTACGTGGACAATTGGTCAAGGCAGTAGTGTAGATTCTATCACAAGTGACGTTTTTAAAGAGTTATCTGTAGATTTGTTTCGTGATTATTCACTTCCGCTTTTTATTCTCGTAGGGGACTGGCACGGTAACAGTCAGTGTGACGGACGTCAATGACAACATCCCCTCCTGCACTCAGTCCAGCTGGTCACAGAATGTGGCAGAAGATGTCGGTAAGAATGCACCAAACCGTCGATATCACACGAAAATGTCGCCTGTCTTTCATTTTTGTCTAACATGCCTTTTAAAGCCTATCATCATGTGTACTGCAAATGATATCAATTAATCACAATTAACACTCTCTGTTTGTTGTTTAACGCCGAATTATTCCAGATATATGACGGCGGTGTGTAACGAAATCGGGTTTGGACCAGACAATCCAGTGATTGCCATCATTAGCATCGATCTACACAATTGGTGTACAATGACATGCATGAACCCAGTCGGCGAGTCTGCCCTCCAGGTCCCGTTAGTTGCCTCCTACAACAATCATTGGTTGCAGAAGGCCTATTGTAAACCGTATCCTTAGGAGTCTAATACTCTCTGAATTGTTCTTTTTCAGCTGTATTCCCCACAACACTTATTGCAAGTTTGGGATGCTCAGATGTTGAAGATGGAACATCACTGACCTACACTCTTGTGCAGAGTCCAGGGTCTCACTTTGGTGCAACAGCAGGCGCTGTAACAATTGAAAGTGAGTGAAACCTTTCCAGTTACAAATTCCAAAAGCGTGAGTAAATTTGTGGTTAAATGCAGATTTGGACAGTATTTATAAGCTGGCATGTCAATTTCAAAGAAAGCCAGTAGCCTCAACATCATTTTCTGTTAACGTCTCTAACAGCTGGTGTGACGACTTACTGACAAAAAGTAAGTCATCAATGGGATTAAATAGGACCATTCTGGGCATTTCAGGTGCTGTTGATTATGAGGCAAACACTGGCCATACTTTGACCATCACGGTCTCTGACACCGGCAGTCCTGTGCAGTCAACAACAGTCACAGTTAACATCAACGTTGTCAATGTCAACGATGGCCCACCAACATTTACTGGAACATTTTCCGCCACCATTGCTGAAGACAGCGCCATTGGGATATCCGTTGCTGATGTTGTAGCCACAGACCCTGATGGAAATAATGCTTTAGGAAGTCCTGTTTATTCTATTCAGGGTGGTGACCTCACTAATCAGTTCACCATAGACTCAAATACTGGAAGAGTGACATCTATTGCTAACTTGGACCGAGAAACAAAAGCTAGCTATGATCTCATCATCAAAGCCAAGGAAAGTGGAGACATTGGGACTGCCACAGTTACACTTACTGTAACAGTTGCAGATGTAAACGACAATACACCATCTTGCTCTCAGAATTCTTTTGTTGTGACAGTCAGTGAAGCTGAGGTCGCCGGATTCGGTGTCAACACATTCACGTGTACAGATGCTGACACGACTGGAACTGTAACATACATCTTGTCAACTGGAAATACGATCAAGTTCGAAATGAGTTCAAACATTCTTCAGTTGAAGTCACCCCTTGACTTTGACTCTGGTGTGACAAAATATGATGTTATTGTTACAGTATCTGACACCACAAATAGCGTGTCTATCCCCGGAACAATTCATGTTGGAAACGTTAATGAGGCTCCGCCAGTGTTTTCACCAGGTAAGAGTGAGTGGGTTAATATTTAGGTGAGGTGAAATTGGGTTTAACGTCGTACTTGAGAATATTTAGCTCATATGACGACGTGCATGCGTGTGTATGTGTATGTGCGGCTGCTTGTACTAGCCCAGACTAAAGCTGGTTTTATAGTGCTAGCCCACTGAGATACCATGCCGCAGTGAAGCAGGAATACCCCACTCAGACACATAATACTGACTCCGAGCCGACAAGTCCTTGTTATACCTATTAATGCCGAGCGCCAGGCAGGGACCAACAAGTACCACATTTTAACGTCTTTTGGTATGACGCGGTCGGGGATCGAACCCGCAACCTTCCGCTCTCCGGGCGGACGCTCTAACCACTACACCACGGAGGCGGTCGAGTTTATATTTAACGTCACATCGGCAATATCTCAGCCATATCGTGACGAGAACATATGTCACCAGGTACGAACTCTCAACATACTACTGAATTTTCTTGAAAGCTAACAATATCAAAAAAAACGAGGAATAAACCAGGCATCAAAATAAACCAGGTACATACCATTGAAGGATACCGAGAACCCAGTCTAAGGGAACCTCTACTTCTTTTAAAACATGTCGAGTGAATGATTCATGACAAGCATACAGCTGAGCCTATTAATGGTCTAAAGCATAATATTATGATTGTGCAATGATATTCAAATGTTCGCTACATCCTTTCGGTGAGTTGTATCAGTAATCGTCCCTGTCCTCTGCAATTCCTAACCTAACCTCGAATAATCTCCTAACAAATAAAACTTCCCCAAGAAACTAAAGCATTACTTCAGGAAGCAAACTGCTAATTCTACTTCGATATGTACATGACTGGACCTACTGTGATACCACCACTGAGTAGCATGCATGTTGGAAGTTAAGTGCCAGGATATAAAATGCACTATTGTTGTTATTGTTTTCTACATCATATTAATGAAAGACTAACCCACATCTAACACAGATCAGAACTGGAAATGGAAGATATTCCTCAAGCAAGCACTGTTGTGTGCAGCCTGAAATATTCTTTTAATTGCTTTACACTGCACACATATATTTTCTTTCACTTTCAGTGGTATATCCAGTATCTCACAGTGAGAATCTGGCACTGGCCTCCACAATAGCACAGGTAACTGCAACAGATGCAGACTCCGCCTCCACTTCAGATGGACAAATCACGTATGCCTTCATAGCTTCGTACCCTTTGTTTGCGCTGGACTCGACTTCCGGCATCATCACGCTTGTGTCATCACTGGACAGAGAGACGGATGCAACTCACGACCTCCTGGTTACAGCAACAGACGGAACAACCTCAGTAACTGCCACTGTCAGTTTGACCGTCACAGATGAAAATGACAACACTCCTGTGTTTGGTTCTGGGTCCTACAGGTACTGAAATAAATTGTGTTTCATCATACCTGAACGACATAAAGAGTGAGTTTAGCTTCACACCACTTTTAGCAATATTCCAGCTATATCACGACCCGGGACACCAGGAATAGACTTCACACAGTGAACTCAACCCGACAAGCGAACAGTTTAACCACTTGGCTACCCAACCGTCCCGAACAACATAGAAAATGCAATGGCACTGACAGAAATCTAGATATAACTATTGCAAAAGAATTATTTAACACAAAAGCATGAATACAATACAGGACACTGTTGATAAGACATTGTGTCTGTTTTATCTGCAGTGGCAGTGTGTCTGAGGGGGATGCTGTTGGAGCTAGTGTCGTGGTTACCGTTGCTGCAACTGACCTAGATGACCCTGCCACTGGAGGAAATGGACAAATAGCATTCTCAATTATCGGTATGTAAAGTGTTAGCACAATAAAGACAAAATGTGTCTTATACGATGGGTGATATAACACAGTGTGGGTAGGATGTGCTCACCTTTTGCTTAACTCCTGGCATTGTCACTTTAAGATTCATAAACACAAGTTGATCCAATCCACACTAATGAGATTTGTATCATTTATTATAAATATGAAAAGTGCTCCTTTTTATTACATCAAGGAACTATTGTTGGGAATTATACCTATCATTTCTAAACACATCATTATGTTTGTTACAGGCGGAAATACGAACAGTGACTTTACGATCGATGTCAGCAATGGCGAGATAAGAACAGCCAAGTTGTTAGACTATGAGACAGCTGTGTCCCACTCTCTGATAGTGAAGGCAGTCGACAGAGCAGGGGATGCACAATCCAAGTCCGCTACCACAGTTGTATCAGTTACAGTCACTAATGTGAATGAGCATAACCCAGTGTTTACCCCAACAACTATCATCAAGTCAGTCCCTGAAAACACAGCTATTGGAACTCTCATCCATCAGATCCTTGCAACGGATGCCGACAGTGGCACAGATGGAGATCTTACTTACACCATGGCAACACACGCCACATTTGCCCTTGCTTCTGATGGTGCTCTCACCCTCAAAGATAATCTTGACTTTGCAACTGCCAGTACACACTCACTTACTGTGACAGCAACTGATGGTGGAACACCAGCTAGAAGTTCAGACGTCACTGTGACAATCAACGTCATTGACGACAACAATAACACACCAACATGCTCCCCTAGCTCCACGACTACCATTCAAAGAGAAGACTACACTGGCAATGTAGCTACTTTGACATGCACAGACCTGGACACAGGAGCAAGTGGTACACTTTCCTACATTATAGAATCCGTGAATGCTGTTGCTGGGAGTGGTTCGTTTTCTGTTGATGCGAGTGGTGTTGTTTCTACAACAGGTTTGGATTATGAAACTGCCACTTCACATTCAATTATAATAAGAGTTGAAGATGGTGGTGTTCCTGCCCGAACAACATCAGCTACAGTGATTGTGTCAGTGACAGACGTCAACGAGGCTGCTCCAGCATTCCTTGGAACGCCATTTAATCCTTCTATGGCGGAATCAGAGGCAGTAGGATTTACAATACTTACAGTGACTGCAACTGATGCTGACACTGCCAATAGTGTTACATATTCCCTGACAGACACAACGAACTTAATCATAGGATCTGCCACCGGAGTAATAACTCTGAAGGTTCAACAAGACAGAGAAACCAATCCAACTGTGATTGTTGATGTATGTGCGACGGATTCAGGCACAGTTGATGCAATCAAATCATCATGTGAAACTTTGACACTCACTATAACAGATGTCAATGATAACCTGCCAGTGTTTAATCCATCAACATATACAACAAACGTTGACGAGAACACACCCACAGGGACGACTGTGATTACAGTAACAGCAACAGATGCTGATGCTGCAGGTTTTGGAACCATTACCTATTCCATAGAAAGTGGCAACACGGGCACTGTGTTCAGCATTGCATCAGGCATTATCACAGTTACCGACAGTACTGGCTTAAACTTTGAGACGACCCAACTGTTTACACTCACAGTGAGGGCCACTGATGGTGGGGGACAGACAAGTGACGTCATCGTGTCCATATTAGTCAATCCCATCAATGAAAATTCTCCAACGTTCAGCCCTGCTTCAAGCACAGAAACTGTCCCTGAGAACAGTGTAGTGGGACACGTTGTTATTGACCTTGATGCAACGGATAGTGATTCTGGACCAGATGGACAAGTAACCTACAGTATCATATCAGGATCACTTGGGAAGTTCATAATTGATCCATCGACTGGCGTTGTGACTGTAAGCGACGTACTTGATGCTGAATCTGTGTCATCATACACTGTTACAATCCAGGCATCGGATGCTGGAACTAATCCGTCACCCCTGAGTGGTACCTACATCCTAACAGTGTCAGTGACTGATGTGAATGATGTAACACCATCTTGCACTCAGGCATACTACTCAACTGCCATAACGGAATCAACAGCGCCAACAACATCCGTTCAACAAATTGTGTGTTTTGACTTAGATATGAATGCTCCTAACAATGTGCTCAGTTATGCCAAAATTGCAGGGGATCCAGGTAACCTGTTTGATGTGGATGCTTCTACAGGACTGGTCTCTGTTGCTGCAGCAGCATCCTTTGATAGGGAGACGACTGCGTCATACCTTCTGAGTGTTACTGTCACAGATGGTGGAGCCACGGCACTTTCTGCAGTCATCCAAGTCTTTGTCAGCATCACAGGTAGGTTGTGTTAGCAAGCACAAATGCATTGTAAATAGGAACTAGATCGCTTTGCTCATCATTGTGTTAGTATATAGGAACAAAGTACACATATTATTATTTGCTGTTTTATCTTTTTATAGACGAGAATGACAACACCCCTGTGTTTGGCCAGAACCCGTATACGCCCAGCGTAGCTGAAGATGCTAGCCCTGGAACAGCTGTTGTGACAGTAGCAGCAACAGATGCAGATACTGGATCGAATGGTAGTCGGCCATGTTAGAGATTATTTGAACGTTATGGATGGCCTATGTTCAGCCACCAATATTCAAATACCATCAGATCCCTGACATCTCACTGAAGTCTCTGAAGTACATATTTGCATAATTAATCAATACATTTAAGACTTTAATCACTTATTAAGTTTCTAATGTATATTTTGTTGCCTCTTTTTTCAGGAGATGTAGTGTACTTCATATCAACAGGAAATTCACTGGGCCACTTTACTGTGGACTCCGTGACAGGAATGGTGTCTGTTCAGGCATCTCTTGACAGGGAGTCATTATCTTCATATGTTTTGGAAGTGAAGGCCCAGGACAAAGGGACCCCCACAAGTCTTACTGGAACGTCTACTGTCTCGATAACTGTAACTGATGTCAATGACAACTATCCTCTTTGTACCTCATCTGTATACTCTGGCAGTGTACCAGAAGATGCTCCTCTATCCACGTCTGTTACCACTGTGTCCTGTCCGGATGCTGATGTTCCTCCTAACAATAACGTTGTGTACACAATCACAGCAGGCAACACTGGGAGTGTATTTGCTATTGGATCTACATCAGGAGTGGTCACAGTCAATGCAGGTCTTGATGCAGACACACAGAGTGCGTACAGCCTCACAGTACAAGCTTCAGATGGAACCCTCACTACTGATGTCATTGTAACTATCACAGTATCTGATGTCAATGAGCACGACCCAGTCTTCGCTCCACCCGGACCCTATTCCGAGTCATTCAGTGAGGACACAGCTTTAGGAACTACGATAAAGAACATTAATGCAAATGATAATGATGTTTCCAATTCTGTTCTATCATTCAGCATAACTCTAGGAAACGCAGATAACAAATTTTGGATCGATCCAACATTGGGGACTGTTGTTCTTCAGGCAGCTCTTGACCGCGAAACCACAGACACATATTCCTTGACAGTAGAAGTTGCTGATGGAACAGGAGCCGGGAGTCGCACAGCAACGACTCAGCTGACAGTTTTAGTTCTTGATGTAAATGACAATGATCCAATTTGTGCTCCTTCCAATTATATCAACACACTACCAGAAGATTCCAGTATTGGAACAACTGTTAGCAGTCTAACATGTTCTGATGCTGATTCCTCTACCCCACCCTGGCTTACAGTATCACAACGGGCAATGGAGAGGTAAACTTACCATCGATGCTGCTTCTGGGGTGGTTACCATATTTGCGTTGCTTGATTATGAAACTACAACTTCCTACAACTTGGAAATTCAAAGTATCCGATCAAGGGGGTACTGCACGAGTAATCACCGTTCCTGTAACTTTAGATGTGACACCTGTAAATGAAGCAGCTCAGTATTTACTCCAGTTACGCCTGTACCTATTCAGGAAGATGTCTCTATAGGATCGGCTGTGTACACAGTAACAACTACAGATACCGATATGGGTTTACTTCATGGAACGGTAAGGTATTCAATACCATCTGGCAATGGTCTTGGTCATTTTTAGTATTGATGAAGGAACGGGAGAAATTAAAACTGTTGGTAATTTAGACAGAGAAAGCACTGCCTCATACACTTTGAGAATTCGTGCCACTGATGACTTTGCTGGTTCAGGGGCTGAGCGTAGTGCTGAAGTGGACCTCAGTTTAACAGTTGGTGATGTGAATGATAACATCCCTGTGTTTGTACCAATCCTCTACATCAAAGATGTTCTTGAGACAGCTCCAAGTGGATCTACAGTTGCAGTTGTGACTTCCCGAGATGATGATGATGTTCCAAATGCAACACCCGTGTACTCCATTGTTTCAGGAAATACGGGAAGTGTATTCAACTTTGTGGCAAACGAACTTCTCTCAAATGCAGCCTTAGACTTTGAAACTTTGACAATGTATGATCTTGTCATACAAGTTTCAGATAGTGGAACACCACCATTGACATCAAATGGCAGAATCATCATAAATGTACTATCTCAAAACGAGTTTGCTCCGATTCCTGCTGTCCCCAATGATAGCATCACAGTGAGCGAGCTAATCCCAGTGGGAACCAACTTCTACAATGCAAGTGCTGCAGATGGTGATTCAGGAACTGATGGGGAATTCTCTTGGAGTATCACAAATGGAAACAGCCCTGAGCTTTTCTTCTGCAGTCCACAGTTAGGAGAACTGTATACATCGTCCGTTCTCGATTACGACACACCTCCCAACACTCACAACATTACGGTTGAAGCACAAGACAAAGGTGGTCTGACCGGGTCATTCTGGCTTGAAATTGTACTTCAGGATGAAAATGATGAGTATCCAGTGTTTACCCAATCTACCTATACCCTTTTCTGTACGAAAACGTTCCTATTGGTCAAGGTGTGATAACTGTTACTGCAATAGATAAAGACTCCGGGGTCAATGGACAAGTTACATACTCAATTACATCTGGGAGTGGACAAACGTTCTTTGCAATTGACAGTTCAACGGGTGTCATAAGTACAATCCAGGCTATCGACCGTGAAAAGCAAATAGAATTGTTCCTTATCCTGCAAGCCATCGATGGTGGAACTCCTCCTTTGTCTACTGTTGGGGTCGTCAAGGTGATCATAGTTGACCTCAATGATAATGCTCCTATATTCACACCTGACATCTTTACTGAGAGTCTGTCTGAAGATGCTACAGTGGGGAACAAGTGTGACGACTGTATATGCCACAGACGCCGACTCATCGGCTAACAACAACAACGTCTTCACCTACAGTCTCACTGATGCATACTTTGATGTCAACCCTGTGTCTGGGCAGATTTCACTGAAAACCCCTTTGGACAGAGAAACTATTTCAAGGTGATTCAAAGTAGGCAGTGTTTAAAACATGATGTAAAGAGTATAATTAAGCTCTTCATTTGCCACTTTTAGTATGTTGTAATCATTTTGAATTGTTAATTATGAAATGTATTTCCATATTTTACAGTCACAACCTTACTATCTATGCAACTGACCTTGGGTTCGCCGGTCAATACTGGAACAGCTCTTGTCACAGTCAACCTGCTGGACGTAAACGATAATAAGCCAGACATCACAGGAAGCTACTCGATTAACCTGAGTGAAGACATCGGTTCTGGAACCATTGTCTTCACTATTGCAAACTCTGACATAGATAGTGGTGTGAATGCTGAACTTGTGTACTCTATCGAGTCTGGAAACACTGATGGAGACTTCAAGGTCTGTAATCATAGTTTCATATCATATATATATATATGCATATTAACGTAATTATATGTTATGACAATAGACCAGTCATAATCGGCATATTTAATGCAGTGTGAAATTGTTATTTCAGATTGAAATTGGAAGTGGTATTGTTCAAGTTCAGAATTCACTGGACAGGGAGAGAACCGCCTCCTACAACCTCGTCATCCATGTAACGGATAAAGGAGCCCTCCACTCCACTGCTTCTGTTACCACTACAATAGTGATTGATGATATCAATGACAACAATCCAGTCTTCATCTCACCTTTCTACACATTTAACATAGCCGAAAACGTTCCTTCAGGGTCATCAGTTGGCACAATACAAGCTACAGACCAAGACAGCTTAATAAATGCAGCTCTGACGTATGAAACTGTTGTCTTTGGATTGGTGAGGCGTCCCATTTTGTCCTTGACCTTTCATCTGGAGTGATCACTACAGCAGGGAATCTGGACCGAGAAACTATTGACACGTACAGTTTCAGATGTCGTGCCAAGATGGTGGAACTCCTCAGTTAACTGGAGATGTTAATGTGACCATCGTGATTGATGACTTAAATGATAACCCACCTGTCTTCAACTCGTTACGGTATACAGGATCTGTAAATGAAAACACAGCAGCAGGAACGAGCATATTAACTGTTACAGTCACCGATGCAGACGCCCACAATGGTGCCATAACTCTGTCAATCGATACTTCAACTCCTGAAGGGGGGTCAGAGGTGACCAGTTCTAACAGTTGATTCTGCCTCAGGTATTGTAAGTGTCAAGTCAGTTATGGACAGAGAGGTGGACGTGGACTTCAATAATAACCATTTTAGCAGTTGACAATGGGACAGTTCCCCTGACTGCTTCAGCTGTGGTGTACATCACAGTTATCGATGAAAATGACAATGCTCCTGTCTTCAGCTCTACATTTTACAACACTGAGATTGCCTACACTGGCACCTGTGACAACACTATTGTGACTCTTACTGCCACTGATGCTGATTCTGGATTAAATGGACAGGTGTTCTACGTCTTTTCCCAGAACCCTTATGGATTTTTTCTTTGCTGTTGGTGCCAGCTCAGGTATTTATATTAAGGCATTTATAACGTGATATGGCTGATGTAGTTCCACTATTTATAGTCTTGACTGAAGCAGTATGTTCGTTTCTATTAATGTGAATCTAGTGCATACATATCTCGAACAAGACTGCTAATATACTAACCTAGAATATGCACAACTAACCACACATTGAGGCCGTTACCATTCAGTTTTACACAACACTAACAAAATAGACGCGAAAAGTTATCGAACACTAACCTGCAGACACAATGATACACAACAATACACAACACTAACCATACAGACAAAATGCTCCACAACACTACCAATATTGACACAACGTTATCAAACACTAACCTGCAGACATGATGATACAGATCACTAACTATATTGACAGAATGTCACACAACACTAACGATAAAGACACGATATCGAACGCTAACCATGTAGATACAATGATACACATCACTAACCATGCAGACAAAATGTCCCTTTTTCCCAGAGCCAGTATGTGTTCTTCTTAGGCGGCCGATGCTAGTTTAGGTAATGCAAACCATTTATCAATCAACGTTAGATTGTGTCCTACTCTTTACATGTTTTAATAATGTACAGTCTGAGTGTCATAACACTGGTTCTACACATATTCCAAAAGGCGGCATGTTCAATTCATGTAAATATCTATTGTATCTAGGTGTTGTGACGCTACAGACCCCCAGTATCAGTCAACACCAAGTATGTTCTGGAAGCCTCGAGGAACGATGGTGGTGTTCCTTCACAATCAACCAGCCCGGCAGCATCAATTCGGGTGGATACATTCGACCCCAATACAGTGGCCGTCGTTATCAAACTTGGCATAAGCAAAACAGATTTCCTCCTCAGACAGGATCAGTTTGTGTCCCAGTTCAAGGCGGTGATGTCATCCAGATATCCTTCATGTCTGGTACGGATCTGGTGCATCACGGAGAGGTCAGGCGAGACGGCAGTAGCAGCACCAACACGGCGGAGACTCCTCACCTCAAGGTTATTTAAATAACTAAGGTGGACACTAATGACATGGAAATGTATAAGGCCACTACAAATTCAAAGAACTGAACGAGTTCTCTAAATGCTTCTAAAAATGTCAACACATTTTTATATAAATCCTCCTTTCAAAATGTCATCCCAATTTATATAAATCAGAATTAGAGGCGTTAACCATGATCTGTGTAAATGAAACCCAACTGAGGCAGATCCTCTGGTACTTTTTGCTCTGTAGATACTATTTAACAGTGCCTGTGGTATGCTCTCTTTTCAGTCCAGTCGATATCAGCCTCGTGGTTGTTGCGGACAACTCGACTGAGTCGGCAAACAACCTAGCCCAAGGCAAGACTTTCGTTACTTCCAGTGATGTCACCAGTGTTGTTGCATCTGACCCGTCCGGGACTCCATCACCAGCACTGCAAGGTGGGTTATCATGACATGCAATGATTTATTTACCAAGCAAATGGCAACCATGTGAGATTCAGCACGTTTAAAGCCCATGCGTCGTCATTGCTAACTCCATAGCTACATCAAAGCCTCTAACCGCAGATATCGATGGGATCTCCTCTTAGTAATGACAAAACATCAGCCGCAGAAGATAAAATATTCCTTGTTCCTTGTCTTTTTGCGTCGTCTGTCGGTCACATGACATTGATCTCTGCCTGAGTGCAATCATTTATAGTGAGTGAGAGTGTTTGGTTTTACGCCGCATTCAGCAATATT